CAGCTTGAGCGACCCCTCCCCTGAGCCCTGGGGCACCTGGAGCAAGGCTGTACATCCCCACTTTAAAGTTGGAGACACTGAGGCTGGGCCCAGTGACTGCCCTGGCCCCAGGTTCCAGGTGAGCTTCTGGATCCTGTGTCATGGAGCCAGGACGCTGAGGGCACACACCGCGGCCGACAGCAGGGTTCCGCCATGTGACAGCTCAGGCTGCAGTCGGCAGCGGGAGGCCTGGATTCCCGTGCTGGCCCTGCCTCTGAGCACCTGTGCGCCAGGCTCTGCCCGTGTTACACACAGATGTCCCTTTAGGTCTCACAGCCACCCTACAGGGGAGTTCAGTGACCGTCCCCATTTGACAGATGAAGGCACTGAGGTTCCAAGATGTATGTGCCAACGTCCCAGAGCCAGGAGGGGCTAAGCCACCCAGCTCCAGGCCTGTGCTCTTAAATCCTGCCTCCCTGGCAGACCCCTGGGCCTCAGTTTCCCCATCTCTGAAGTGAGGGCTTTCCTGCCTGGCTGCTCTGGTCTCCTGGGTCTGAGGGGCCAGTGGACGGAAGAGGTGTTGCTGCCGCAGGCTTCTGTGGAGGGCAGCAGCGCCCTGTGGTCCCGCAGCCCCGCTCCTGACAGGGCCCTCTCTGCAGGCCATCCGCGGGGAGGCCTTGGACCGGCACCTGCTGGGCCTGAAGCTACAGGCCATCGAGGACCTGGTGAGCATGCCTGACATCTTCATGGACACCTCCTATGCCATCGCCATGCACTTCAACCTCTCCACCAGCCAGGTGGGCCACCGCCCTGGGTGCCCTGGGGTGGGGTGGGGTGGAACAGAACCCACCGGAGCTGGAGCAGAAAGGCTGCACTGACGAGAGCCAAGGTCTAGAACGTGGTCAGACCTCGGTGGTGGCGTGGCCCACACGGGCCCCCAGAGGCCACTTCGAAGCGGCCGAGTTCTGGCAGAGGGGCCGGGTCAGGGGCTTCGCTACAGCTCAGGCTGAGGAGTTGGGGACCCCCCAGGGGAGAATCGGCTTCATTCATTCACCGGTCAGACACGAAGGAAGGAACGTGTGCTCCGTGCCAGCCTGTGCTGGGTACTGGGGCACAGCAGGGACTGCACCATCCCTCCCCAGGGACTCTCAGTGTAGGCTGGCAGCACAGGAAGTGCTAGGGGTCAGGGAAGTCCCGAGGAGGGAGCAGTAGAGCCCCAAGAATGTAGAGGAGGCCCCCTGGAGGGTGACACCGGAACTGCACACCGAAGGACGAAGAGGAAAGGTGTCAGGCAGGGCACAGCAGGAGCAGAGTCCTGGGAAGGCAGGCTGGTGCACTGAGGAGCTGGAAGGGACCTGGTGGGAAGGGCGAGTGCCTTAGTCCTCTGCCACCCCCAGGTCCCCTCCAAGACAGACTGCGTCATGTTCTTTGGGCCTGTGGTCCCAGACGGCTATGGCGTTTGCTATAACCCCATGGAGTCGCACATCAACTTCTCGGTGTCGGCCTACAACAGCTGTGCCGAGACCAACGCTGCCCGCATGGCGCACTACCTGGAGAAGGCGCTCCTGGACATGCGCGAGCTGCTGCAGAGCCACCCCCGGGCCAAGCTCTGAGCCGTGCCCCCCCTGCCCCTGCCACAGCCAAACCACTTCAGATGGGCCCCCACCAGGGCTCCCCTTTGTCCCTCTCCCCATGGGCCCCGCAGATCTGACCAAGCCGGGGTGGACTCCCCCAGGGCCCGCAGGCCCACGCCAAATGCCTTCCACGGGCCATCCCCAGCATCATGGGCTGTGCTCAGAGGCTGAGCAGGACGGAGGCCCAGGCGCCCCATCTATCGTCCAGTGCAGCCTTCCTCTGGGAAAGGAACCAGTCAACTCCATCCCCACCGGTGAGCCTGGGAGGTCCTTCTCTGATAGCTCAGCTCTGGCCAGTCCCTGCCATCTGGGCTGATCCGTACTCCAATCCTCAAACGCCCAAAGGCCTGAAGACAGGACTATCTGGAGTGGGGGACTCCAGGCCTCCCCACGGCCGAGGCCAGGGTGCGAGGCGGACTGGGGACGGGGCATCTCCCACAGGACTGCCGTACTCTTTTGGAGAATATGGCTGAACAATGTTCCTGGTTGTATAATAGTACCACGCGAGGCAATTAATAAAGGGAAAATGTTTTGGTGAAGAGGCGTTCCAGCTGCGGAGGCAGGCAGGTGGGGGGACACCGGGCCGCCTCCCGGCTTTCCCTGCCTGGGAGCTGGTGTCCAAGCAGCCATGGCCCCAGGGACTCCGAGGAGCCAAGAGGAGGTGTCCTCAGGCACCAGATTGCGGACCCCATTCTCAGACAACTCCCACCTGCCCGGGACTCGGGCCTCTCCAGTACTGTGGGCATATGGTGGGACAGTTCTCCCAGGGAAGTAGGACCCTGCAGGCCCCAGTCTGGTGGGCCAGGTGTGGCCAACACCAGGGCCTAAGGCCTCATCCTGCAGCCCCCACTGAGCCCAACAGGAGTGATGCCCCAGATCACACGACCACCTGATCAGAACCCTAAACCCGCCTGACCCCAACCCCACGCGCCTGGCAGAAGCTGGGTGTCTTGCCAAAGTCAGTCTCTCACTCCAGGGGACACTCTGGCCCTAAGGCACGTGAAAACCAGAGCAGACGCTGGGGTGCAGGTGGGAGAGCTGGTGGAGCCTGTCAGAGTGCTTCTTGGCCCGGCTGACCTGGGACAGTCAGTGAGGATGGGGCCTGTGGTTTTCTCCTTTTTTCAGACGAGAAAACTGAGGCACAGAGAGGTCAGTCACCAGGCCACTAAACAGAACAGATTCCCAGAAGCCATACTTCAGGTCAGGGTACCGGGAGCCCCTGTAGCCAAGCCCCCAGCCCCACATCACACCCGCCCAGATGACCAGCGCAGGGGTGAAGGGGAGGCCATGGGTGGACATGGGCCTGGAAGGCACAGGAAGGTGCTGGCTGGACTAGGGCACTGAGTCGAACTGACCTGTGTTGGGCCTGCTGGTCCCACCACATCCCCCACAGCCACAAGGTGGGGCTCAGTACCCTCCCTCCAATGCGGGTGAGAGGGTGTGCCACTTGCCCGAGTCCCAGGGAGCAGGAGGCGGAACCCACACAAGGGGGGAGTGGGTGTTGCCCTGGGCCTGGCCATTTCTCAACGCCCCCTCCCCGCCCCCCAGCAAGGCCGGCAGGGTGGAGTGATGCCAGGAGAAGGCGGTAGGGTCCATGAATGCCCTTTCCTGGGCCGGAGTGGGAAGACCAGGGAAAGACCATGACAATGCACAGCCTGCTGTCCTCATCTGTACAGTGGGGGTGATGCTGCTCCCTCTGGGGGCTCCTGGGAGTCCCAGGAAGTGGGGGCCCACAGCAGGCGTTGGTGAGTGCTGGGGGAGTAGTACTAGGGTGGGGCTGCGGGGGCAGGCGACAGAGTGAGCCAGGCCATGGGCACTGCACAGACACCTGCAACTCCCACAACTCAAGTTCTAAGAACCACACAGGTCTGAACATAAGGCAGGGTTTCCCCAAACTCTCCTTCAGAAGTGAGGGCATGCCCTTGCCCTTGGGTGTTACAGGTCTCGTATGAAGGCTTACTCGACTCCTTAGCGCCGAAAGTCCATGGGGAAAGGCAGTTAGCACCTGAAACAAACCGTCAGTGTGAGATGCCGGCCTGGAGGTCCCTGGTGGCACGTGGGGAGGGAAAGGCAAGGAAACGAAGACCTTTAGCAACTACTCCCGAGGATGTGACTGTGCCTCACTCTTGGGAGTGCTGGGTGTGGGACAAGCAGGTGCTTAGGGTCTCTGGACACACGGGAAGGAAGGATTGGGGAGATGACACACCTACAGGGTTTTCTTAATCCGCTGTCTCCGTGTGATGCCAGCGGGCACTCGGGGCCTGGGGTAACATTCCCAGTGACCGCATTGCGTGTGAAATCCAGAAAGTGCTGCTGGGTCTCAGGCCGCTCAGCCCGTGGGCCTGGAGACTCCGGTCAGCGAGCCCAGAGGTGGGCCAGGGACAAGACCCTGATGCCAATGATGCAGATGAAGAACTTGATTTTTTTTTTTTATGAGCGAAAAAGAACTGTTCTAAAGTAATATATTTTGTGCAACACATTACTTGAAATGTGAACATGTAATAAATGAATGAATTAAAGATTTGGCTCTTACCTAGATCCCGTTTGTCTATCCAGATTGGCATGAACTTGACTTTGGCTCTTCGTGGGGAAAGTGCAGTGGCCGGAATCAAGGGCAGGCCTGTAGCGAAGCCTGCGAGGGGGTGAGGGCTGGACAGAGGGAGCCAGAGGCCACGTTGACGGCCAGTGCTTTGTCCGAGACCTGGAGGAGGGCATGTAGGAAGATGCCCAGGGGTTGGAGGGGGCCTGACCGTGGGGGAGCTTTGCAGCCTCCAGGCAGGGGGAGGGGGGACGGGACCCAGAGGGGTCGGGGAGGTGGAGAAGAGTGGACATTCCAGACCCTTAGGAGCTGGAGCCGGCAAGACGTGACCAACAGGAAAAGAAGTTGGGGTGTCGATCGAGGTGAGAGCAGTGAGTGTAGCTGGGACTCGGGGACATTCAGGGCTCACCATCCCTTTCCTCTCCGCTCTGGTCCTTCTGCCTGTCGTGCAGTTTACTTTCCTCTTCAACTGAAACCTACCTGTTGAGCTCAGCTTGCTTTTCAGCGATTGGATTTTTCCATTTTGATCCACTTAAAAGTCTTGCAGGGTTCACCTTAGAGCTTCTCAGCCCCGCAGACATGCTCAAGTTTGTCTTTAAAACACATCTAGTCGCCGAAACCGGTTTGGCTCAGTGGATAGAGCGTCGGCCTGCGGACGGAAAGGTCCCGGGTTCGATTCCGGTCAAGGGCACGTACGTTGGTTGCGGGCACATCCCCAGTAGGAGATGTGCAGGAGGCAGCTGGTCGATGTTTCTCTCTCATCGATGTTTCTAACTCTCTATCCCTCTCCCTTCCTCTCTGTAAAAAATCAATAAAATATATTTAAAAAATAAAACACATCTAGTCTGTGGCTGATCTTCCAGCACGAGGTACTGGCAGGCTTGTTCCGTGACCCGTTTCCGCTGGTTCTCCATCACGGTGTCGTGTCCTCTCGGCCATCTTTACCTACATTCTCTTCACTGCAACTTAAAAACTACTCACACGAATGACTGAAGTCCAGGATGGAGGCTCCTTCCTCCAGAGGTTGGTTTGCTTCTGCCTTGTATCTCGGGTAAGGTCACGTTTACTGAACGTCAAGGTTCTGTGGACGGCGGGGGCCCTGACCCACAGCCTTCAAGCTCATGTGGGGACAGAATTCTTTCTGATCCCCCTACTCTAGGGTGTGGCCATTCTGCATCTCAGCTCAGTGAATCAGGGAAGGATTAGATTCCCCATCTTGGCCAGCCCTTGGGATCGACTTCTATCACCTCACTCCCACAAGCCTCTAAAAACCCAGCTGTTTGCAGTCATTTCTTCCAAAGCAAGACCTTCAGCCATGCACACTCAAGAAATACTGGATTAAACACAGAGCGGAGGTGTTACCTGGAGAGGCGTACACCCTGTCCCCAGCCCCCGAGGGCTGTCATGGAGGAACGAGGCTGAGCAGGTCCAGAGCCAGCCAGGACCACGCAGGGAGCGACCAGGACCGGAAAGGGGGCACGTCCAGCTCTCCGTGGCAGTGCGGTCTCCTCAGTGGGAAATGTCGCAGAGCCATTCACAAGGCGGCACTGGGGGCTGGAGGGACTAGATGTCTCAGATGCTTATGGTTTTATGTTTTTATGGTCCTTGCTCCTTGGGGTCACGTGTCTCCAGCCTCCTCTCAGGAGCTCAAGTCAACATGTGCTCAAGCTGCCAGAGTTCAGGATTTTATTTTAAAACAATAGTAAACAATTTCATTGATTTTTCTTAAATCAAACCACCTCACACTTGGCTTGTCTCAGGCAAAATGTAAAAAACAAGAAGGAAAGGGGGGGCGGGATGTGGGGACTGACCAACCTTCCCTAGAAACAGGCCCCGGCCCTGGCCTCTGGAATGGCTTTGGACACGGTCTTCAACTGAGAAAGGAAAGCACCCGAACATTGTGCTTCAGCAGCAGATTACGAACCTCCACAAAGAAAGGGAGGGGCGGGGTTCGAACACAGGTCCCGAGCAGCCTGGTTCAGTTCTAGAAACTTCCAAGAGTCTGGAAGCATGTCCACTCCACAACTCCACTTCACAGAGACGGAGAGATCAAGTCCCTTGAGGAGGAGCCGTCCTCTGAGCTGGACAGTGGGCTCTGTGCCACACCCCAAAAGAGGCTCCAGGTGCCCCGGGCAGTCCCCAGCCTCTCGGAGGGGTCGGGAAGGGTAAGGAATGCTCAGAGCGAAGGGGGGGAGGGCGCGGATGTCAGGCACCACGGGCCCCCCTCACCCGCTCCGTTCCTCTGCACTTGGTTCTCGTGGAGATGAAGACTAACCGCTCCCGCTGGCAGGACCAAAAAGAGCTGTAAACAGCTTGGGTTTGCTCACCCACATGTGCAGGCTCTTTTGTCAGGAAGGGACCACTGTCTGGGGGACAGGGGACCGGAGAAAGCCCTTGTGGTGTAAGGGTCAGTGCGGGGTAGGACACGATAGCAGCCGCCAGACGAGCGCTCTCTCTAGGCCTGGCCCCCTGACTCGGAAACACTGCATGAGGTTCTGGAATGGCAATGGTGGCAGGGAGGGCCCGGGGCGCGCCCTCTGCTGGGCCCAGGCCACCGTTCAGGGCAGAGGGCCGGGCCCCCTGTACTCGGGCAGCCACCGCAGAGCGGGCTCTTCCGGCCCCATCTCCGAAATCCTGCCTGCCGTCAACAAAACCAAAAATAAATAGTGTGTATTTTCACGCCCCTGGATCTGCCCTGCGAGCACAGGTGCCAGGCCTCCTCCTCTACCCACACCCCAGCGCCCACACCAGCACTTCCCACAGCGCGGAGCTGGCTGTGTGGCCCCCGTCAGCAGGCGCTCCAGGATCCTGGCCGAGGGGCTGGCCTGGCCCTTCGGGCCACCTTGTTCATTAAAATTAAAGTAAGAAAACAAAAGGCTCCACTTGGCGACGGGTCTGTCGAGGTCTCCGCTTCATCCCTCTGCATTCTGTCCATCCCGCACGGCGGCGTGCAGGCCAGACGGAGGTGGACCCAGCCACCCTCACCAGTCACTGCAGTTTCGTCCCCAGCTTGCGTTGTCTGTTCCTGCAAAACGGGTGGGAGTTTGCAGTGAGGACGCCTGGGGGTCAGAGGAGGGGACCCCTGGCATTCAGTGACCCCCTTAGCGGTCCCCTCCCTACCCACAGTCCCGTCAAAATGGGTGAGTGCCCCTCCCAGTAGCCCCAGTCCCTGACTCACCAAACTTCCTCCCGCCTGCAGCTGTGCACATGCTCTTCCCTCTCCTGAGAACGCTCTCCGCCCACCCCCCGACCTGGGCAGGCCCGCACTCCCTCCACCCTCAGGTCTGTCTCCCCTGAGCAGCAGGCCCAACCACCGGCCCCCACGTCCAGTTTGTCCTGAGCTCTCAGGCCCAGGGCGCGCATCACACAGGAGGCGCCTTATTCTTCAGGCTCCCCTGACGGCTGTGGCTGTCTCACTCTGCCTCCCCCCAGCACACAGCCTGGCACAGAGCACGCTTATACAGAAATGTTGGTAAATGGAGGCAGGTGGTGGCCAGCGGAGCCAGGTGACAGGGGCGGGGCCAGGCAGGGCAGGGCCCCTGGGACAGGACCATTCTGAGCGTCAGGTGGAGAGCCTGGGCCAGCCGGGCCTCTCCAATAATGGGATTGCCTGCCCTAACCACCTCAAATCCCCTTTCCTCCTGGATCCAGGGCTTTCCCTTTAAGCTCCTTAGGATAATTTGGACCATGATGCACTAGACACATTTCCAGGCTGCTCAGGTGCCCTGGCCTGGCCTGCCCTGTGACCCCTCTCACCACCGCCTTGGGGAAACCCCAGAGGCTCGCTCTGAAGTCTGACCTCGCCTCAGCTCCCCTCTGAACCCCGGCTGGCACCGACCCACGGAGGGAGAGCTCAGTCAGTAGACTCCAAAGCCCAGCTCTGCACCAACGTGCTGTGCAACTGCACCTCTGTTTACCCATTTATGGGGCGCATGTCTGGACTAAGCACCCTGAGAATCCCGGCTGCCCAGCTCTCTGGTTCTGGGACACGGGTTAAAAGCATGGCTCCGGGCCCGACAGCCCGGGTTCCCAGCCCAGCGTCCCCACCCACAATCTCTAAGTCATCCATAGTGACTCCCCGCTCATCTCAGCCTCAGTTTTCTCATCTGTACAATGCGGTCCCGAGGAGGCTTCCACGAGGCAGTGAAAAACAGCGCTTAGCCAAGTGCCTGGGTCTCGGGGAGCCTCTAAGAGCAGGAGCAGTGGCAGCCCCACTGAGCCAGGACCCAGTGAGAGCCGGACCCTTAACTCACCTGGCTTCTGCCCGGGTGACTGTGTACTCAAACCAGAGGACATTGGGAATGAGGCTCGTGTCTCGAATTAGAAAGAACTCAGAGATAGGCCTGCGGAGACAGACACCCAGAACCCCAGGTCATGTCAGGGCGCGAGCTTGCCATCAAGCCAGAGTCCCCCATCAGTGTGGAGTCAGCCATGCACCTTCCCCCCCCACCGCTCAGAGAGTCCTTGCCCGAACTGTGCCCCCCGGGCCACTGCAAGAACTAGAAGTGCCACCTGTGACACTGAGGCAGGGCCGCCCCCACCGTGCACACAGCTCGCGGGACTCGGGCTGCTTTCCGAGTCCCTGAGAAGCCACCTTAGCTTCTGGGCGTGAGGAAACGCCTGGGCAACAGAGAAGCCAGGCAGACGGGGCCTGCAGCCTCATGCCCACCAGAGACCTGGACCCTAGGGCTCTCCCAGGGAGACCGAGGCTGGGGTAGGAAACCCTAGGTCCTCCACTGACGGCCCTTCCGCAGAGGGGCCGGGGCAGGCGGGGCAGCAGCAGGGCAGGAAGCAGTTACCAGGACGCTATCCTGGGGAAGAGAGGAGTGAGGACCTCCTGGGTGAAGACGAACCAAGCGATGGCCATGAGGCTTCCGGCGACGCCCCCATACACCACCTGGCTCCAGGTGTGATACAGCAGGTAGACCCTGGGCCAAGGACAAGGGAAGCTCATGAGAGCCAGCCAGCAACAGGCCTGCACGGTCCCCCATGCCCAAGCGCTAGCTTCCGGGGACCTGTGTGCGCACAGGGAGACACGCACAGATAGGCATGAACTCCTGTGAACACAGCCTCAGGCCCCGACGGCGCCTCTCCCGACTCCAAGAGAGGAGATGAGACTCGCCGCCCTTCTCCCCAGCCCTGAACTCCGAGTTCGTCTGCATGGGGCTCCTCCAGGCGCTGGAGCAGAAGCTGATGTGCGGAGGTGTCCCCAGGACCCTGGGCTCAGCTGGGAGGAGACAGCAGGACTGGGCCGCAAGGGGCAGTGGAGCCCTGACCCTACAAAGTAAGAGGCTGGGACCCTTTTCCCCGCCCTACCCTACAGGCTCTGAGACTCAGTTCTACAGTGACCAAAAACCCAGCAATAGGGACCAAAAACCCAGCAAGACCCAGTGGCAGGGTGTGGGTGGGGCTCGCCCTCCCTCCGTACCTGCTGTAGGAGACCAGAAAGGCCGCGGTGAGGAGGCCCAGGGACAGCACGTGCCTCCACAGCAAGTCCAGGAACCTGGCGTTGTTCGTTTGGTGCATTCTGGGAAGACAGGCCTGTCAGGTGGCCTCAGCCCACAGCCTGGAGCCCGGGCCTCCCAAACAGCTCCTGGCCCCTCCACAGGCTCCCTGGGCTCCTCCCACCCCCGGAAGAGGCCAAGCCCCACGTGGCATCCAAAGGACTCGCAGTGAGTCCCTGGCAAAGGCTGGCCTGGGCCAGTCCAGGGCCACTCCAACCGGAAAGAAGCTCACCTTAAATATAGGAAAAGGAAGGAATAGACGGAGAAAAACCACATAAACTGGGAATGGCTGGAGGGCATCCCGTACTTGGTGCCCACTGTCGCGTGGGGATCTGGGGGAGAGAGAACAGGGCATGAGGGGAGGCTGCAGGCCCCCCATAATGCCCCAACCTGGTGGACCCCCGATTCCTGCAGCCTGGGCCTTACCTCCACAGGGCCGCGGCTCCTTGATGACGTGTTTCATCAGCCAGTTGACCCCCTCGTTCAGTGCCAGGCCCCCGAGGAACGAGATCTGTTGGGAAGATGTGTGGTCAGCCGGGCCTCTGTGCCTGCTGGCCACCGCCCAGCCCCAAAGACCATGGCCCCTGATAGAATTTCCCAGCCCAACTGGTGAACCACCTGGAAGCAGCCCGGAGGCTCCACACACCTCAAGAAAGGTGGTGGCATGGAAGGGAAGGTGCAGCACCTGGGATGAGATGGCGCAACCCCTTCCGTGGGGTGGGGGCAGCGGGGAGCAGTTGGAGGGCCTGGGGTGGGGGGGACAGACTCACTCACCGTGTGCAGCTCCCGCTTGAATATGATGAGGGTCACGAAACCGACAATGACAAACACAGGGCCGAGGCTCAGGTAGGCAAGGAGGTGGCCGGAGAGATCACCTGGGTGCGACAGGGAAAACGGGATGAGGACAGAGCATGAGCCTCAGAGAGGGGCCAGCCCCGTGCAAGGTAATTAGCACCTGAGCCAGAAAGGAGGTGCCAATAAGAGCCGGAGTGCAGGGCCAGGCAGCTGTGGACACCTCAGTCAGAACGAGTGGGAGCGGGACTAACAGCCAAGTCTCTGGCCCAGGAATCTGAACCCGGCTTCGTTTGACCCCCGAGACGGGCTCTGTACCGGGGGCAGCCCAGCAGGCACATGGGTGCCCCTGGAACACAGTGTTGTGCTGAGGCTGCCCCAGCCGAGCCCTGGGCTCCAGGGAACCTGGTATTCTCTGGCCACACAGACATGGGTTTGT